GTTAGTTAGTAATAAGGTTAAACGTTACCGTAAGTAAGTAGTTACGTTAACTACGTAGTTATTAAGGTAGTTATAGTATAGTTAGTAGTAGTAGTAGTATCCGATGTAGGCGGCGAGGTGGTACGTGTTGTGTAAGCGTGTGCGAGGTGTGTGTGTGGTGTATGTGTGTTGTATATTCTGGACGTGTGCGTGGTGTCTGTGTCCTGTCTATGCTGTATGTGTGATGTTCCTGGGTTTGGTGAGCGCGACCGACACTGGCCCTGTGCCGAGTTCTCTGACCTAATGTATATCATAAAGCAATTGAGTGCAGAAACAGCTTTCCAGCCCAGCTTCCCTCCATGTCCATTGCCGTGGCTCAGCGATCGTCTGTTGAGGTTGTTCTGCAAGTGTTCCGATGTAATAGTACAATGCATAGAACGCCCAGTGCTATCCTTGCCTAGGGCACCCCGTTGTACGACAGACTGTGTTATTGCGAAGGTGAACCCGTGTGTATACGTATGAGAGATTGTGCAGATACGTTAGATGTGCAAGTTATTTCCGACGCGTGCGTGTGCTATTACATGTGCAATATATACGAGCACCTACGTTCATCGTGCCTAAGTCATTCTTCTCGCTGCCTGACTTTCAATTCCGTTTTAACGCAACAGCGCGAAAATCTGAAAATCAAGATGTCGGCTCCGTCACTGTCAGGAGTATGTGCTTTTTTTCTGAGTGAGTCTACTTTCGTGTGTGTATATTGTTCGCCCGGCTGTACCCAATGGGCCGCGTCTTTTGACTATTGTGTATACGGCTTGTCTCGTTTCCTGGCAAGCCCTTTGTTGTGCATGAGTGAGTTCTTGCTTGAATGGGTGCCTAGTAGTCACCTCAAGTATCCATGGGAGGAGATCGAATCAATAGTACGTCATATGTACACGCACCATGCGCCTATGCCCAGTCCTGAAGCAACAAGATGCGTACTTTTACAATTGATTTATATTAGTACTCCCCACAGGCCACAGCCCTACATACAGCTCCACCCACTCCCCCCTCTGGGCCCTGAGTCCATGACTCCTGAGCAGACCTGGGAACTCATAGATTTGAGAGCACTGCAAAATATAAAATAATAAGAACAAAGGCGTACGTATACCCACGATCACACTATCTCACGGAAAATATGAACGTCATAGAAAAGGACTTGGGTATATACACGTTATCTACAACTATCCGAAGTTTTTATGTTGAAACTCTCAGGCCGACTGTGTTGTGCGCAGTTGCTTCATTTTCCACACTGAATCAGGGCCCAATCCATAGTTGTGTTGACTTCTGGATATATATTACAGTACCAACCCCTACGCCTATACTAAACCCTTCAACTCTTTCATCTCGAACCACATATAGGAGAATTCACAGAGATCGGAACGTAAAAAGCACAAGAAACGACATAAGGAAAGGCACAAATAACGTCATAGGGACGATCGTCACGAAGACCACAGGCACACCTCCCAGCGTGCCCGAGAGGATGTGTACTCGGAGTGACAGCGCAATGCGACACACGTACAAGAATAAACGTATTGTGTGGATAAAAGTTTGATAAAGAATAAATGTATTAGGATGGACAACCTCCGTGGGTGACACAATGCTGTAGGAGAATTCGTTGTAGATGAGTCAGACACGCAGAACACCGTTATCTCACGAATCAAGTACGAATATATTGAGATGGAGAGCATAAAGTGTACCAATGTAGTATGAGACAATATCGACCGGCGTATGACGTAAGTTCCAGATTGGAGTGGTTATCTATGATGTACACATGCTTTAATTGCCAGACAGGTGCACCTGTATTTATGTGATTCATCCAGAAATCACAACCTGTGTCATCCTTCGATATAACAAGTTTTACACACCCACTGTGCTTCCTGAATTATGTGCGTATTCTTTTTCGGCATCACAAGGGATTACTTCAGTACACGGATCACGAGAATATCAAATGTACGACACTTAACTCTAAAATGAAAAGCACAAACTAGCATAATGACCCAATACCATATACCCGAACATTCAAGTACGTACTTGTATATATGTAAATCATGTATCCTCAAATGTTATTGTATTCGTATCAAATGTAGCGCATGATGTATTGTTGAATGTTATTGTATTCGTATCACATGTAGAACGGACCTATCATTAATTGGGATTGTATCTCTATCACATGTAGCGTACAATGTATTCTTAAATGTGATTATATCTTTATTCATCCTGTCTGATTTAAGTCTTGTGCCGAGGCCGTTTCAAATAACAGTCCACCACTTACAAGGCCAAGAAGTTATAAAGCGAAATTGCAGGTATGAACATATATTCTTGAATTGAAGTTCCGTAAGTATATTGGACTGATTCTATTGTGCAATTGCGAATGCGGGGTATCACATTCGCAGTCATTATTTAATAATAATGATTCGTTGAATCCTGATCGTTTGTGCTCGTTGCACGTCTTGTAGTGATTAATTGTCTTAAGTGAATCTCAATGATTGCGCTCTAATGTACGGCATGTACTTTAAACTTAATACCCGTACGAAGGATCACATTCTGCGAATCGAGGCGCTGCACATTCGTTAGCGTCCAAATTTAGTGTCAATGGGCACCATCCCTCGGCACTGGCTGGGTACCGTGCCCTACCACTTGCTTCAAAGCCAATACTATCGCAAACAGATGTCACATTCAAGGGCATCTCCATGGTACAATCTACTAAGCAACTATCTAGATCAGGTCTTTTCTTGATGGTCGACACGCCCATCGCCCGAGACGTGGCGCAGTAGAAGCATCGGCTAGTGAAGTACTCCGTATTGAGCACCGGTTTGTCCCTGATGGTGGAGGGGGAATATATGGATACGTTTTAAAAGAAGAACATATGTGGATCGCGGATACTCAGCACATAAAGTGTGCACATAAATTCTGACTAATAAGTGTGTTTTTTTAAGATATGCATACTTATGAGAGATCGAATGCATATCATACTGATTAAGTAGATAGCTAATGTTTCAAAATGGATTGGTCAATGTAAGTCGAAGTAGAAATCGATAGGACATACCTGTGGAGAAAGGGCCAGTAATTATCAATATTTCCATTGATAAAGGCTTCCTCATTCACCACCATATCGTAAGTGTCACTTAGGAGGAATGCAAACTCATTCGAATTCTTTAGTGCCACGGACATGCCTCGTGCATGTGCTTGTCTGACACACCACTTATCAAATTGCAATTGCAGAGTCAGGTCAATGTTACCCTGCACTCGAAGAAGAGGAGAAACAGTGGGTGATATACATATAAATAGCACAGCTGAAAACTGTCAAGAATAGAGAGGAAGTAAGTTTTGAATGTTCGTGTACATTTAAACCAGATACTAAGCTCTAGCTCATGCTAGTAAATTACAATGTCTGGATTCAATATTGGGGTGAGAGAATGATAGCACAGGTGACAATCAGGAGGAATCTTTGGAAACACCGAACAGATACTTACCGCTAGTCCGTGCTCGTGAATAACAATGTCTGGATTATCGAATTCCACAGCATCGCATCCTTTTGCCTTTGCAGCGTCCAAGCGATTCATCATGATTGGCCCGATAATGTCAAAGCGTCGAAGATCTAGCCAAGCCTCATCATCGAAAACGTCGCCGGTACCGAACAGCAAGGGTCCGCCTTGAATAAAAGCAGGGAACAGTTCCTGATCTATCCGCCATTTCTCAGTGCTACCAGCCGAAAAATAGCACATTACCCTGCGTCCTTTAATTGCATATCAAGACGTATGCAGATTGTTCAGTTGGTTTGCGAACCTTTTGTGGTGGCACAATTCAGAAGGTCAAGGCTGAACTTTTGGTATCTAATCCTCAACATACTTGAATGCAAAATACCATATTTACCTGCTGCATGCAGAGAAGCAATTGTGCTGTCTGGCGTATCGAAATCGATGTCATACAATGGGACGTCGTGGGATTCGTCGATAGTATCCTGCAATTGCCACTGCCATCTGATACCCTTTTTAGGTTTATATCTGTCCACGGCTACGCATGAATAGAAGTGAAGGGTTTGTATGTAAGGATTGACTGCACATATTCTCATTAAAACCGTAACACTCATGCCTCATACGAACCACATATTCAGAAAACTCTGTTACTACCACTTACTTTCACTATTTGTTGGGATAGATATATCGCCGATGACGCGACTACAAGAAGTTCCCGTAAACCGATTGTCGCATATGCACTTTCCGGTGATCGGATCGCATGTACCATGTCCGCTGCAACTTGCTGGGCACGATTTCGGTACGAAGCCGGGCGCTTGTATGACGCTGCTCGTGTTGGAAGGATATGTATTTAGATTCGTCTATTGACAGCACATATCAAACTTATTAATAGAGCAGCAAAGTACGCACTTGCAACGCAAATTGTAACACAGATGGATCGTACCTATCAATCTGCTCGATCAGTATTCTTGCAGGGCACAATTCTGCGGCAAATTTTACCGAGGTCCTACGGTCGCTGTGAGTCGTGACAGAGAGTGGGATCGGGTGACAATCCGATGCGTTAACCCCTTTAGTTGCCAGTACTGTACCATCGCGTAAAACCAAACACGGTGCTGCAAACGAGTAGGTCGCCGCTACTTGCTTCGTGTCTTGATTGTTGTCGGCCACTTTCCACCCATTTGGTATGTACGTTTCATTGCTTTCGCAGTCGGTATCTGCAAACACGACTTGCTCGGGGAGTCCACCTTGTAACGTTGCGTAAATAACACCAGAAGGCATCACGATTGAATTCTGAATGTTCTCGGGCATGCAGTCTGCTGGAGCACTTTCGCTTGTTTCACTTGGCCAAGCACAGATATTGTCGTTGCTAACTGGGTCACACAAGCCGCAGTCTCGGGAACATGATAGACAGGTTTCCCCGTCGGTTGTACCACACGCTCCGTCGCCGCATGTAGGTGGACACACACCACAATCTATTGGACACCTGAAGCAGCTCTCGGTGGATTCACATGCTCCATTACCACATAATTCTATCAATGGGCAGTCGATAGGGCAATTGTATGGCGTTTCATAAAAGTTGTGGTATCCCAATTCGCTAAAGTCCTCACAAATACCATTCCCACACACACTATTTGTTTTAAGACAATCGTCTGAATTTGCTATTCCGTTTTCTCCATCTTCGCACACGCCATTCCCGGGTATCGATGTGCACGGGCAGTCCTGAGGACATGTTTTACACCACTCACCTTCGCCGCAAACACCATCACCACATTGTGCTTTCCACTCCGACCAGGACACCGTCAAATTCTGCAGCACTTCATTCCGTGGCTTCATCTCTGCGATCTGTTGTAAAGTCAGAGCGGGAGGAGTTGTACTTGGTACCGGTATTGTGGAAGGTTGCACACTTGGTATTGTTTTGGAGCCTTGCGCTGTGCCGTCGCTATTCGAACCAGATAGTGTACCGGTTGCTGCTAGTACACCTACGATAATACCAATTAAAACTAAAATAGCGAGTATGCAACTGGCAATTTTAATTTTCTTAGTGCATCGTTGGGTCTTTTCAGTATGCTTGGAATGTGATTCTCCGGGTTCTAGTTTGACCATTTTGCCTATATATATAAGCTTTGGTCTGTTTTGATAGAGGTTAGTAGACGGGGTTGCTAGACTATTTGTAGATGTACGGTTTCGAACACGGACAAACAACTTTATATACTGTTTGTATTTTCCACATGATAAAACAATCACATACCTCAACGCGGCTATATACACAGTATTCCATCCCAACATTGCCGATACGCCGTTACGCCGTTACGCAGCTACAAAGTGCTGTATACACAATTTTTTCTACTTGAATGCCACGAGTTATTTGAACTCATTCTACAGTCATGTAACAACTTTTTCAGGGTATTTCAAATACATCTTAATAGAAGTATGCTGTGCGTCGAATAAACATACAGATTCCTTTGCCATAGTTTTCTTTACATACAATCTAACCATTCTTTGTTTGTTGACATGTGTGGAGATTCTGACCTTCAGCCAATCAGTATGGCTTCACCAATCACGAGTCACTTCATCTTTTTGGGTACAGTTTTCATATATAATTTTTTGTTTTTCTTGCAACAAAGCAGTTTTTTCTTTGCGGTTTACATTCTAAATAGTGAGCTACTATCTCTGGCAAAACAAAACCGCAGAATTTTTATAAAATGTACTTTATATTTTGTTTTATTCTACAAAATGACTTTCAGATATTAAATCAAATATTTACATTGTATTTTTTTTAAAAACAAAATACATACTGAACATACTACAAAATAAAAACAAATATTTGTTATAAAATAAATAAAATACTTACATCTGTGACAGTCTGGAAAGGCGGTAAGTGGAAACGCTTGTCTAAAAATTTAATAAAAAAAGGACAAAACAATAAAAAAAGTCGTCTTCTTGTGTCGGCCGAACTTCAAAATTCAAGACCGCGAGATATTCACGCCAGACTACAGTATTTATTAAGCTTTAAATGTCCTGATTATTAAATACTACATAGTAGCGGGATGCCTTCCCTGACGGATAGTCGAGCTTAAAATGAGCTAAAGAAGCCTCCCGTTACCATCCACCTATCTGTTGTTGGATCAGGTATCTGTGCCTATTTAGTGTGCTGGTATTATATTCATAACAGAAGTAACATACACCCAACAAGTTTTAGTAGTGAATTTTTAATTTTTTGGGGTGTTGCTGAGTGGAGGAGTTTATCAATATGTAGTTAAGTGTGTACATATTACGGTACCTCTGACAATTATGGAGAAGGAAGTATGGTCACATTGAACATGTCTAAATATTATTCAATCCTCTATTCCACATTTTACACCAGAAAAATATTTGTATATACTATAATGAACTGGTAGTATTCTTAGAAGGAACATACGTGCAGGTAAAAAGCACAGCATATATTCCGCCTCTCATATTATGCGTTATGTGTTTCTATATATGTGCGCAATAAAAATCAACGTTTCATTGTTATGCTTTATGTTGAACTCAGACCATATATG